TTGAGTGAGTTTTGATTTTTGGGTTTAAAGCGTCCTTAATAAATCCCATAATTACGAATATTGTCTTGAATTCTTTGTGGCCATCGCAATGAATGACCAAATCCAGCTGAAAGTAGTCAATGTTGTGGCACCTGCACATCATTCTTTTTTACTGTGTGTGTGTGTGTGTGTGTGTGTGTGCTTCCTTTTGTTGATGTGTTCTGACAGCTACTACCCAAACCCATCCATCAGGATTACACAGGTTAAAAGACCTAGGGAATTCGTTAAGGCAGCTCTACTTTGCCCTTTAGTATGAGTTGAATTTGACTCTCCAGTACTTAACAATGTCATTTAAAAATTTTTAGTTTTAAAATTTGACTCCTACATTTCAAGGAAGTCCAACTGTCTATACATGCTTAAAATGATTTCACACACATAAATATGCACCGACTTCCTAAATGGAATTAATGTTTTTTGGTAGTTTTCTCAATCCCATTGCCAATAAAACTAAAGAAAAAGCTGGTTTGGGAATCTGTACTTCAAATACAAGAATCTGTAACATAATTTGCCTTTGTATAGTTGTCTTCTTGGCCCATCTAACCTGCAGGTCATTTTTTGTTTTCTTGCTTTTAATTACAAGCACCAGATTGTTTTGCTTTTTCAAGAAAAATTAAGCAGAATCTTATAGCCATTTAAACATAAACAAGTGAAATATTTCACGGTTGATGAATAATGCTTCCTTATAAAATGCTGCTGACCTACTCTGTTTTGGTTCCTACACTTCTTTTGGGTAACAACTTTCTTATGACCCGTCCTCATTTCTCTCCACTCTTCTTTCTTTGTCACCCCCTCCCACAATGAACGTCCTCTGAAGTTCCAACAACAGAATCCCAGGTTATCAATAGTTTCAATATCCTTGAGGCATTCACATGGTTTTCCCTTTCATTCTTTTTTGAGTTTGAGGACAGTAATGAAGTCTAAATAGGAAAAATGTAGACTGTATGATGTACAGAGTAGAGTAAGGTTTATCAATAAAATTCTCTTAATCCATCGCCATCCTCAAAGGATGATCAGGTGCATTGTTATGATGGGGGGAGAATTCGATGGCACAACTCACCTGTTTGTGTTCTGTTGTTGTTATTGTTGTTCTCAATGATGCATTTTCCATTTACTTAAAATTTAGCTTATTATGTCTTTCAATAAAATCTGGCCATTTGAATCCCAAGAAACTGTAACCCAAACCTCCTGAACGGATCTCTCTGACTTGATTTAATTGGCACAGCGGCTCTCCTCAGAAAACACTGTTTTAATTAATGTGTGTGGGTTTTTTGTTTTGTTTTTCTTTTATGTCACCATAACAAGGAGAAGGCGAATTTGGATACCTTCTATTTGGAATAAACCTATGCATGTATGAACTGAAACCCTGGCAGTAAAAGTACTCTGCTTTATCCTCATGTATACATAGAAAACTATATGTAATGAAGGAGCCCTGCTTGAATACTGGGTTACATGTCAGGCTGCTAACCTCAAATTCAACACATTCAAACCATTTGCCACTCCACTGGAGAAAGATGATGCTTTCTCCTCCCGAAAAGAGTTGCAGTCTCAGAAACCCACAAGCACTGTTCTACCTCATCACATAGAGCTGCTATGAGTAAGAATAGGCTCAATGGCAATAAACTGGTTTTCCTCAGTTTTATATAGAGGTTTATTTTAAATAGATCAAAATCCATTTATTTCCAGTGATAAATATGCTGGTGATGCAATAACTACTAGAAAATCATGGCTTTATCTTAGTATTGTATTGTTCAATCAAGCACATAGTAATATGGCTTTATTATACATAAAATAATGTGGATATCATTTTCCTTTTATTCTATAAATATTAAGCTAATGTAATTTTTTATCGAAGTAAGGTTCTACTAAGACAGGTGGTTTTTACATAATGAAACATATGGCTCAAATGAAATGTTAGGGAAACACATAATAGATATGATATTGCTATATATATCTGTTTATATTTCTAGTTCCTTCTTAGTGTCTGAGTATCATGATGGCAAGTAAGTACTGTTTTCTTCTCCAGTGTTTAATAGAAGAGATGGGATAAAGAAGCAGCTGTCCCTGTAAATATTTACAACCTTAGAAGCAGTATATAGTGATCCCTGTTGGGTGGGATGTGCACAATGGCAGTGTTTTGGTTTTTTGTTTGATATGGTTTGGTTTGGTTTGGTTAACAGAGGACAGTACCAGTAGGCATTCAATATATGTTTGTTTAGAGGAAGAACAAATAAATGGATTAGAATCTAATACAGAAAATGAATATGAAAAAATCAGACCATCATAAAATTAAGACAATAAGAACAGAAATAAGTGTTATTACCCAAAATAACAATTAAAAATACATAGGAAATAGGAAGTAATTATCTTTGAAAATAAATACATATTAGTCATTCTGACTGACCTTAGTCAGTTAGCAAATAACACAGAGGCTTAATAAGCATTCATATATTTTTTGTAATACCCCTACATATTTCTGTAAACACGAGAAAGTTGTTATTTCTAGCATATTAGTCAGAAAGAGTAAGTGATATATTAGGTGGCTAATTAAGTACTGTATGTAATGTGGCAATTATTTAACATTTGGAAAATATAGATGAAAAAATAAAGGTCAGAGAAACTTAAAAAGGGAAAATGTTCATATTTAACTACTTTGATTGTACTAACCCTTTAAACACGAAGCTATTAAGGAATTGTGGTGTTATCAGTAATTGTATGCTGAGCGTATAAATTTAAAGTAATAATTCCAATTTTCATTTCATCAGAGAAAGGAAGAAAATGAAATTGAATACTAATTATTGCATGTGTGTCATACACCTGAAAGATTAGGGGAATTATGTGCTCATTATAAGTGAGTTTAAGCAAAGTACTCAAACATTTCATTTGAAGGACTGGATATAAATAAAAAATTAAGTGACAATGGAAATTAACAATGAATACTCAAGCACAGACAATTGGGTACATGATTAGACTCCCTAGAGAGCATCTTAGATATAAGTTTCTTTTAATAAATGGACAGGTATTTGGGCGGGGGGGAATAATGTCTTAGAACATAAAATACTATTAAAGAATGAAGTAGCAAAATATGGACCTTGATGCAAAAACTAAGAAGTTTTTATTAAATAATGATGACAAGTTTTGTTGTTATCCTTCTAGTACATGTGAGAGTCATTCCACTGGTATTAAAGATTTTATGTGCTTTTATTCTTTTTCTTTAAGAGTCCATTATCATATTCATACTCCAAGAAAATAATAATAGTCTCATTGTCCTTAAAAGGAACACAAAATGGATTACATTAGTCTATTAAGATGACAAACACGAGTCCCTGTAATCTAAATTCCTTTGAGAGTCAACTACTGCAGTGTTCCACTGTGTTAATTTCTGCTTAGAATCATTAGGGCAAAGGCAACTTAAATACTTTGAAAGATAGAACGATGCACACTGTGAAACCCTAAATCCAAGCCCCTGGCTATCAAGTTGATTCCTACACTTAGCAACTTTATGTAAGATTTCTAATGCTGTAAATCTTTCCTGACACCGATAACCTCATCTTTCTCTGGCAGAGGGACTAGTGAGTCAGACTCCCTGACCTTGCCATAAGCAGTCTCAGGCTTATCAGAGAGCAACGACTCGGGCAAAGCGCGAAGGAAGCAATACATTGAGAATCTTAAGTAAAGTAAAAGGTGAGCACATCAAACATTGATAAAAAGGTTACAACAGTATGATAATTATGCTCTAGAATGATTTTTAGAAAATAAAACGCATTCTATTTCCTAAAAATCATTATAGAGACAGATTTTGTTTAATTTTTGTTCTGTTTTTCTTCCCTGTGTCTATTTCATAATGTAATTTGGTCATCATTAGTATGTGGTCTAAACCGCCATTTCCCTTATCTAGAATTTTCTTTATTCCTGTGGCTATAGTTTAGAAAAAGTGTGATTCAGAAAAAAATAGACTTAATAGCCAAAATAAAGAAAATAAGTAGTTACATGAACTATATATACTAAAACAATGCAATGTTGGGCTACATTGAGTGGATTGAAATAAATGACATGGAACAAAAATGTGTGTGCATTCTTGAATTCAAAAATCATGATTGCTTCTGTAAACCATTACCCAGTAAAAAGTTATAAAATGTATGAAATATTTAAAAATTCATAAGAAACCTGCACATAACTATCGAAAGGAGATATTGGTGTAGTTCCTAAAGTATGAAACGCATGCAACTTGGCCAAAATTCAGTGTGCTTATCTACTGAATTCATGCAAAATATCCTCCATATTTTTCACTTAATAATGTTGTGTCATAAATTCTAAGTATAAAATTCTAACTTTTAAACATTCTGTGGCAAACAGAACAAACGAGTACTCTAACCTAATCACCACTCTGTAAGACTGCCTCCCACAAAAACTTTTCAGTATGAATTTGAGAGTACACAGAAGTCACACATTAATGATCAGTTGTTGAATACATCCCTCCATCACTATATACTTGTCATAGTTTCTATGTAATCTGAAGATTCCAATCATCTAAGATATATTGAAGAAATCCGAGGTATCGTTATCACAGCCCAGTGTGTTGTATACATTTGCACATCTGTAACCACTTCCTAAAGACAGAAAGGAGGGAACAATAGGTATAATTTGTACGTCAATATCAAAAGTTGCTAAATGTTAACATTATACTAAAGAACCCATGGCATATGTAAAACCTGTTTCTTTGACGTGTGCTTAATATATGGGTATTTATATTTCAAGAATTTTCACATTTCTTAGCAATCTTAATGGACTGCACGTGTTCCTTTCCGTTTCAGAATGTATAGCCGATGTTGACTCTAAGGATTTACCCTTTGCTCTATAACTCTAAGCCAAAAGTCACACATGCTCTGGGCTGCCACTTGTCCTCTTGTTTAGATGGCTCTGACCATCCTTGGCAGTTCCCTTATTTCATTCCCATTTGTTACCTGAATCCATGGCCATCTGTCATTTTCTGCAGCTGTCCAGGCATTGATAAGCCCCTTTTTATTAAGACGTGCATAGTAGGGATACCATTTTTGGAGTCCAAAAAGGGCTCGGTGGGTAGATGAAGCTGTGATTTGCTGATTTGATATGATTCCACCTTCAATTCCCAATGGGCCTGAGCACTCTAGGAGCAAATGAGAAAAAATATATAAATGTTGTATATATTAGAAATAATCCACATTTTAAAGGTACCCATTAGATGCAAGATATTTTAAAATTATTTTCATGTATTCCATCATACCATATGAGTCTCATCTATTTGGTTATGTACTATTTGCTACAATACATAGCTCTTGCTCTTCATGACTTTTTCTGTGAGTATGGCACTTAACAAATACTTTCTTTGTGCATGAGGATAATGCATTGTGAACTCAACATTTTGATGATCTATCACAACAAATCCATAAAAGTCTTAGTGTTCATATTTTATATTTACAGAGATTAGCACCTGTGTTAGTCTGGGTTGACTAGAGAAACAAATTCATACACACACATATATGTATAAGAAAGAGTTTTATATAAAAGAGCAATTGTATATTGAGAAAAGACCCTAGTCCTGGTCAGATCAAGTCCAATATTATCCCATATGTCTGATACCAGTCTATAAATTCCTGTTTGGACTCACACAACACATGCAACGACATGAAAGCAGGAAGATCACAAGCTAATGGTGTAGTCTTGTAGAACCAGTGGCAATGGAAACATTTCAGGGCTGGCAGGGGTCTCCACATGGCTCCTCCAGCTCCACTGCTCTAGCTCCATCAGCATAGTTCCATGTGTCTTGTTAGCAGTAAGACAAAGCAGAGATTGTGGGTCTGACATCCCTTGACCTATGTATCTCCAAAGCACCTCCAAATGTGGTCATCTAGCTGCCGCCTGATTGACAGGCTAAACTCCACTCTTCGCTGTTAATAATCTCAAGTTCACATAAAATTATGCAACTACCACAACACCCACTATTCATCTGTAACTATGCCTTCCTCTGGTGCCTGCTTCACATGTTGTTGTTCTGTTAGAAGCTTTGCCACCAATATTTCAAATGTTGGTAGGGTCACCTATGGTGAATAGGACACAGTAGACCTTCCAGACTAAGAACTGAGTAGGAAGAAGAAGGACTAGGTTGCCAAATTCTGAGAGATTATTCATTTAGGTTTCAATAATTCCTCACAGTTACATTGCCCTTGATCAAGCCCTACTAGGCCTCCTACACCCTTCTTGCCATCTATTTTGGATCACTTTTGCTCCATTGTCCCTGGGTTTGTTAACATCCACTTTCTTTCCCAACGAAGGCTGAACATGATAGTGGGACAAGAGGAAAGTAGAAGGAAATAGAGGAAAGAACTAGGAGGCAAATGGCATTTACAGAGGTCTAAATTCAGGCATGTGCATATGTAAATATATTTATATATGATGATGGGGAAACGGCTCTATGTGCATATATTTATAGGTTTAGTACTAAGGGAGCAGACATTGGGCCTCTATTCAAGTGTTCAATGCAAGAACACTTTGTTCTATTAAACTGACATTCCAGACACGATTGCTGAAGACAAATGGGTGCATAAGCAAATGTGGTGAAGAAAGCTGACGGTGCCCGTCTTTCAAAAGATATAGTGTCTGGGGTCTTAAAGGCTTGACGATAAATAAGTGACCATCAAGCTGAGAAGGAACAAAGCCCACATGGAAGGAGCACATCAGCCTGTGTAATCATGAGGTGTAGAAGGAATCAGATATCAGGCATTAAAGACCCAGAACAAAAAATCATATCAATGTGATTGAGGGGGAGTGCAGAGCACAGACCAAAGCCCATCTGTATACAATTGGACATCTCTTACAGAAAGGTCACAGGAAGAGAAAAGTCAGTCGGTGCAGTATAGCACTGTTGAAATATGCAACGTTCCTCTGGTTATTTAATGGTCCCCCCTTCCCCCCACTATCATGATCCCAATTCTACCTTACAAATCTGGCTAGACCAGAGCATTTTCACTGATACAGATAAGAACTGGAAACACAGGGAATCCATGACAGATAAACCCCTTAGGACCAATAATTAAAATGGCGATACCAATCACAATGATATACATATAGCCCCTGCCCAGGGAGACAGACAACAGAAAGTGGGTGAAGGGAGATATTGGTCAGTGCAAGACATGAAAAAAATCATAATAATTTTAAAATTATCAAAGATTCATGAGGGAGGGAAGCAGGGTGGGGAAAGGAGGAGGTAAAATGAGCAGCTGTTACCAAGGGCTCAAGTAGAAAGAAAATGTTTTGAGAATGATGGCAAAAAATGCACAAATGGATGGATGTAAGGATCATGATAAGAGTGGTATGATTCCCCCAATAAAATGATTTAAAATATAAATTAATTTTAAAAATAATAAAACAGAAAAATATTATTCATTTAAAACCATATGAATACCCTTGAGCCACTTTCAGATGTAATGCCAGAAGATTGAAAAGCACACCAAATATATTTGGGGAAGAGCTACCTCCTCAAAGTACGAAAGCAAGCAAGCAAAGTAACACATAAACTCACTGCCATCCAGTCAATGATGACTCATAGTGATGACCCTGTAGATTTAGGAGACTGTAATTGCTTATGGGATTAGAAAGCTCAGCCTTCCTCCTGACTGCTGATGGGCAGGATTCCAAAATGCAAAAAATCAGCTTCAAATATCTATTAATAATCACAACATGGAAGGTTTATAGTATGAATCTAGAAAAATTGGAAGTTGTCAAAAATAAAGTGGAATGCAGAAATATCAATAATCTAGGTATTAGTTAGCTGCAAATGGGCTGCAATTGACCATTTTGAATTAGCCAATCATAGCTTACTTCTCTGGGAAGGACACATTTTAGAGGAACGGTGTCATATTTATCATCAAAAAGGGCATTTCCAGAGCTATCTTGAAATTGAATTCTGTCTGTGATAGACTATCTACACACTTACAAGGAAGTACAGTAACATAACTATTATTCAAGTATATAAACCCACCACCAAAGCTAATGATGAAGAAATTGAAAGTTCAACCAACTTCAGCTATCTGAAATGGATCTAACAGGCAATCCACATGCATTAAAAATTACTGGCAATTGGCATGCAAAAGCTGGAAACAAGGAGGAAGGAACAGTGGGCAGTAAATATGGCCATGGTGATAGAACTAAAGCTGGAAATTGCATGATTGAATTTTGCAAGACCAAAAGTATCTTCATTGCAAATAGGTTCTTAAAATAAATAGTGACTGTATACATGGATCTCAAAAGAAAGACTACATAGGAATTAGTCTCACTAAATCTATAGGAAGAAACAATAGAGAAGCTCAATATAGTAGCCAAAATGAGGCTCTAACTGTGGATCAAGCTATCACTTATCTGTTTGTTCAGGAGCCCTAGTGGCATAGTGGTTATGAACTGGACTGCTAACTGCAAAGCCAGTAGTTTGAAACCTCCAGCTGCTCTGAGGGAGAAAAATATGAGGCTTTCTGTAAGGATTATCATCTTGGAAATCTGCAGAGGCAGTTCTACCCTGTCCTGTAGGGTCTCTATGAGTCAGCATCACTCAGAAGTGAATTTGCTTCTTTGTTTGTTTTTGGAAGTTCAGGTTGAAGTTTAAGCAAATTAAAATAAATTCATAGTCAAAATAAAATTAACATGAGTATACCCTACCTAAATTTTGAGAACATCTCAAGAACATATTAGACACAGTGAACACTAATGATAGAAGACTTGACACACTGTGGGATGGCATTGAAAGCATCATACATGAAGAAAGCAAAGGGTAACTCAAGAGAAAAGAAAGAAAGAAAAGTTCAAGGTGGATGTTAGAATGGACTCTGAAACAAACTCGCTTTTGAATGTAAGTTAGCTAAAGCAAATGAAAGAGGTGATGAAGAACTAAATAGAAAATATTAAAATGAAGTTTGAGGTAAAGCAAAAAGCATTATAAAGAAATGTGCAAAGACCTGGAGTTAGCAAGCAAAAAAGGAAGAAAATCTTTAACATATGTAAAGATAAAAGAACTGGGGGAAAAAATCTAGTCTCAAAATGCAATATTATAGGATTCTATGAGCAAAATATTGAATGGTGCAGGAAGCATCAAAAGAAGATGGAAGGAATTCTCAAAATTATTGTACCACAGAGAACTGATCTACATTTAACTATTTTGAGATGATCAAGAACCAATTATTCTGAACGAAGATGGCTAAGCTGCCCTAAAAGCAACAGTGGAAAAGAAGGCACCAGGAACTGACATCATGGCAGCTGGGTGTTTCCACAAGCTGATGAAGCCCTGGGAGTGCTCAATAGTGTATGCCAAGGCTTTTGTGAGCAGCTACCTCGCTGAGTGGCAGAAGAGAATCATATTTGAGTCCATTCCAAAGAAAGGTTACCCAACGGAATGCTGAAATTACTGAGCAATACCATTAGTATTACATGAAAGTAAATTTTTGCTAAGTATAATTTTAAAACTGTTGCAACAGTATATTATCTAAACACTGTCAGAAATTCAAATCAGGTTCAGAAGAGGGTATGGCACAAAAGGTATTCTAATATCAGAGCTATCTTGGCTAAATGTACAGAATACCAGAAAGATGTTTATTTGTGTTTTATTGATGACACAACTTACTACATGGATTGTAAAACACCATGAATGACGTTATGAAAAATGGAGACTGGAATACTTCATTTGCTCATGTACAACCAGAACATGCACCCAAAGGCATTGTTCAAACAGAACACGGAACTACTAAATTTTAAAGTCAGAAAAGATGGGTGCCAGGATTATATCTTTTCACTGTATTTGTTTAATATCTTGGGTGTACAAATAATCGGAGAAACTGGAGTGTATGATAAAGAATGTGGCACCAGATGCATAGAAAATTTATTAACTACCTTTGATATGCATATGATACAAACTGCTTGCGGAAATTGAAGATGCGAAGTATAGCTGATCAAAAGCAAAGGCTGCAGCATTCAGTATGCTCACAGCTCTATATAAAACAAAAATCCTTACAACTGGAATGATAAAATAAACAATAAATATAAAGCAAAATTAAGTTATCAAAGACCTCCTCTCACTTCTATCCACAATACATGACCATGGAAGCCACAGTTTAGACATCAAAC